AAGTTAAGTTATGGTTAATTTTATAGACGCCAGGACTAGTGTACATGAACAGGAAGAGCAGGAAGAGCTGACAAATTTCCAGAATATTTTGATCAAATCAGCAGTCACTGAAGTGTTTGCAAATTTTTTATTCTTTTAGCTCCTGTGACCTATTTTTTGACTGGAGATGACACATATTCTAACTTGACCTAGAAATCATCAAAACAACCTTCCTGACGAATTTCCAGAATATTTGAATCAAAACTGCAGCCACTAGAGTGTTAACAATATTTATTTTTTTAGCTTCTGTGACTTAGTTTTTGACCGGAGATGACCCATGTTTAAACTTGACCTAGAAATCATCGAAACAACTATCCTGAATGATATTCAGGATATTTTGATCAAAACTATTTTGATCAAAACTGCAGCCACAAGAGTTTTAACAAAATTATTCTATTTTTAGCTCCAATGACATAGTTTTTTTACCGGAGATGACCCATCTTCGAACCTGATCTAGAAATCATCAAAACAACCTTCCTGATAAATTTCCAGAATGTTTAGATCAAATCTGCAGCCACTATAGCGTGTTAACAAGCTTTTTCTATTTTTAGCTGCTGTGACTTAGTTTTTTACAAGAGATGAAGTAACATGGACGGTAATGTCAAGTGCAAACTACCGTCTGGTTTAAGCAGAGTGCAACATTTACTCAGTTTGGTACAATTTTGAATTTTGAAACATCAGCAGATGTGTTCATACGGCGGTTATCATGGAACCTTCAATGTGACACGTAAGTGCCATTCCATGAAAAGCGGCATATGGTCCCAAAGTAAACAAATGCGTATAACAATGGGCGGAATTAAATAAAATGGAATTTTGAAAGGGATCAGATGTTATCAAGCCTGCATATCACAGATCAGGCGTCAAAAGACAAATTTAAAAAGCAGGCCACATATCCTAAGGATGATTCAGCAGCATTCAAGTAAAGATTACTGGAACCATCCAACAAGAAAATAGCCGAATAAAAAAATGTAAATAACAACAAGCACAGCAACAATGTCGTGCTGAACGATATTTAAGGATCATCCTTGTAGTTCATAATCTCGATGTTGATGTTTAAGCCAGTGTTACATTTATGGCATACAATGATATCTTCGAATACCTTCGAAACATGAAATCAATATTGGTGATAAATTCAGAAAATTATCTGTAGTAGTTTTAAATCCGAACTGAAAACTAACATCCGTCATGTCCCACCATTCGCTTTGCGTATTACCTCTTTTTCCGTAGTTATGCCCGGATAATACATCGAAGTAGATATTTTAAATAATGGTCATGGCGGAGACACCCTTAATATTAAGAAACTATATGATTATAGCGAAACGGTTGGGAAATGGCCACCACTTCAGTAAATAGAGGCGGCCAATGCCAAAATAAGCATTCTTAATGACTCTCGCGAACTTTTTTTATAATTGAAACTGAAGATTCCGTTGTCCGATCAGCCCAGACGAATGACATTATGAATAGGTTGGCTAATTTACATTTGACAACTTGTTCCGCATGGTTGGATATACAATCTGACTGCCCTGATTTTCGCAGTACTTATCTATTTCATGATCATCTTAAACAGGGCACTTGTCCTTCAAAAAACATTTCTAATAAATATTAAAGATGATAATCTATTAGTTGTACCGAAAAATGATCCGCTTACACCTAACAATGAGCTCATAGTTGTATCTCGCTCAGTCATAGACGGACGTGTGACAGCACTTCATCTCAAATTAAATCATCCAAACAACCAACTTGTAATGAAAAGGCACTTTTATGCTTTAGTCTTAAATGAAGCTAATGGCAGCGTCTGTGAAGTATGCCATACTTGTGCTTTTTTGCAGAAATATCCAAATACTTTAAATGAACAAACAAAGTTCCCTCCACCAGAGGTTCTTGGAATTTCTTTTGCAACTGATGTTTTAAAACGGAATAAAAATCGATACTTATGCTTCGGGAAAATGTAAGCTCATATCCTACACCTTGTATAATTGAAAATGAAACTTGTCGCTTTGTTAAAATTTATTGTCGTATAACGCCCTCTTGAAGGCTCTTGTGATATCATCAGATTCGATGCAGCTCCAGAATTTGTAGCCTTGCGAGAAGACGAAAAACTCAAGTCACTTGGAATTATATTTGAAATTGGTTGCGCGTAAAATGTAAATCCATGATGCTACATTGAGAAATTTTCCGGTTCACAGTTAAGAGCTACATGATACAAAATAAAACTAAGTTAGTGCTACAGAGTTCAAAGTTAATTTAGTGAGTGTTTACCAAATAAGGTGAACTTTTATAGTGAAAGCGATCATATTAGTGAAGTCCAAGACACGATACCAGAAGTTATAAACAATCCGGATACTTTGTTTCGTCTAGCATATGAACCGCCAAATCAACCAATTGAAAACAACTTATTTATGGACCTTTCACCAGAAGTAGTTGACAAGCATGATATAAACTCTAGTCATTCCAATGGTGATTTCCATGAACTACAATTAATACAAGTGTGCGACCATAAAGGACCCGAAAGCCTCACATTTACCACAGTGACTATGATTTGTCTTAACACTTGATTTCACATTATAACACCAGAACATCTTTCTTTAGTCAATTATGTGTTCTAGTTTATTTTCTCCAACATTGTTTTGTAAATGTTTTAAATGTTAAATTTACTTAATACTAAGATGCTGCATATTGCTTTTATAATTAACCATTGATTATATAGGTGGCATAATTGTATCGATACTTCATAGGAAAGGAAAAGAAGTAACGCCACTATATTTATAGTGGTCAATGACCTATGAACATTTAGTTGTAGTTCACATAATACGTAAGGGAGTTGTTTCCCTTGCTTTTACCTCAACGTTTGTTTTTCACAAAAAGGCACAATAGCACAATTATGTGTATGTTTGTTTACGAAGCAAACTGTGTAAAAGAAGAAAAGTTAAAACTTTTAAATATCAATCATACATTTAATTCAAAAGGGGTTTATTCTTCATTTCTTCATTTTCTCAAATAGAGAAAAATTCTTGAATGTTGGAAAGAAAAATAAAATAAGTATATTTACATAAAATGAGGGGTGCAAATGATAAATATGATGATGTAGATTTAATCTAGTTTGCACAAAAAATGTCTATGAAAATAAGTAAAAAGAAGCATTGTTTCCTTAAAGTCACTATATACCAATACATGCAATTCATTAGAAAAGAGAATGTCCGTTAATGTTTGTCTATACATAATAAAAATAGATACCAATGCCATACTTATTTTAAAACAATACACTTTCCAGGACGTCTCAACCTACAAGTTCCAGTCTTCGATATTGAATATGGAAAAAAAACAACTTTTGTTTAACGTTCCAGTGCTATGTGGTAACGAAACATCGTTACTACTTCATATTAGCATTGCTATAATTATGCTGTATCATTGTTTGTTATTTTTGTTTCTAACGTGAAAGGATTATGTCAATACGATATATCAAACATATTGAATGAGCACTTGGTTCAAACGTTTGGAATTCGTTGAATACATTGTTTTAGATTATGCAATAACGTCCTTGAAGGCACTGGTATATATACACGTGAATATAGTACGACAACAAATTATTTTTTGCATATTTGCATGTAGAAATATAAAAGAAGAAGAGATATTCAGTACTGTTATTTTATTTACGAAACAAATCTGATTAGAAAAAGCAAATACATGTTATGTTTTAAGTAAGTACAAAAAGCGGGAAACAAATGTACATTTTGTGAATTTGTTTTTCATAATCATATACAAATTTAAAATTTCATGTTTCAAAAACTGTTCCGAGTATTCTATAAAAATCGCATATCGAGTCATTAACAAATTACATTTAAAAGTTTATAAAATTTATATCAATTAAAACTGTATTTTCTACTTCCTGTTAAAGCCTATTAATTACGTCTGTAATATTATCACGACTATTGTACATTGAAAATATATAATAGCTTAAAAGAAAGAGTAATGCAAACATATGAAAATGTTGGTGAGTTTTTAAATATAATGTATAATGTAATCATAATTGCAACATGCGAATCACAAAACTGATATACAATTACAATCAGTATAGGAAATATTATTATATAAAATGATAAAACTTGCTGAAGCCATTATTAAAGTGGAATAGATGAAATCTGAACTGTGAATAATTTTAAAAGCATTCTTTAAAAACGATATTATTTATCTATTTAGAATATTTAAGGTACTGAAATATTGTGATAAAAACAATGCAGCCGCATTGTGGTGAATCAATGTCAAATGTGAAGACTCAAAATATTAGAAATATCTGAAAAGTAAACACCCAGGTAAAACATTGTGATCATGTCTACATGTCTAGTAGTTTCTGTAATAATTAAACATAATCTCTATGCTTATAACATGCTTTAAATACAAGCATAAAATAACTTAGGAATATAGACAATATAGTCGCAAGTTTCAGATTGGTTGGCTGTACATAAATGTTTTTTACATTAATAACAGTGGCATAATATTTTAATACGTTAATTTCAACATAATTATTTCAAAGGTACGTGTTAGAGAGATAAACATAAAATGTTTCATGAGCATCTCAAGAGTATTAAATATATATTAACAAAGCTTTTATGAATTATAGGGTAAATACTTGTACATTATATCAACAGTTCAAATAATGATTGATATTTTTTGAATACATAACCAAAATAAATATCTGTGTTTTTACAAGACTTATCTTGTTCTTATACATAAATCTTCGAAATGATGATAGAGTTTGTAAAATGTATCTGCTTTTTAATTGATATACTGATTGTTAAACACTGTAATATAAACTATACACGAACTTATCCAATTTTCGGATGAATATTAATTTTTAATATAATAATAATGTTTTTTCATTAAAAATTATGTTCAAACTATTTGAACTATTCAGAAAAAAAACATATCAATACATTCCCGTCATTGATCATTTGATTACACTTTCAAAATGAGCAAACAACGCATGTAATTTTCTTTCCATCTTCATACGGTGGACATTTCAGTGATCCGCACTTTGCATACACGAAATAAAATAGTTTGCTAGCATGGTGTGTACTTGAATCAGGAAAAACTTCCGGCTCATCATCAACACAGACAAATTCCGTTGCTGATGGATGCAAATAGTGACCCGACATAAGATATCCGCTGTACTGCAATGAATGTTTTTCATGACAAACATTTCGGCCAGGGATCATGACAATATTGCTGCTAGGTACGTGGCATACAACACATGGGACATCATACTCTTGAATCTTCTCCCAGTTAGTGCCACTGGTCTGATACTCTGCCCCAAACATAAGATTCGTTTGTGATTTATACACATTGTTATCGTTCCATGTTGGCTGTTTATGCAGGCAAACATAATTTGCTGCGCCACCCTTTGCGTTATGTCCAGAGCCTCCAGCAAAACCGTCGTAGATCAATGTTGTTCCATTTGGACAAGAAAATCTCCCCCATCTTGTAAACGTGTCACCTGTGAATTTTAAGAGTTCCTCTTTTAGATAAATTAACATTTAAATCAGTAAATGAACAGTGGCATAGCAAATGACCATGCAACTGAGTTACGCTCAGATGAAATCATGCTTAAAACCCCCCTTGTTGTTTATGCTTTATGTTAGGCGGTTTAATTATTTTCTGTTGGAGCGTTCTTTCGTGTTTATAATACTCAACATGACATAGACAATAGTCAACTAAATGCAGTCCATATTGAAATCAATTATATGTTTGTAATTCAGAATAAAAACATTAAAAGTTGGGTCTTAAATCACAAATAATTGACCCGAATATAAGCAATTTCAAAAATAAATTAGATAAATAATATCACCTTTGCTAAGAGTACGAGTCTCTTCCTTCTCCAGCTTAGTTTCCTGAACATTTTCAAGTTTCTTTTCTACTTCGGACAATCTATGCATGACCTTAAAGACATATTCGAATTTATCGTAGCATGTTTCATCATCAGTCCTAGCGAAAGAAAAAATCCCAACGGATAGAACAAATGTGAGAATATTCATTTCCTTCAGTTACAATATTTAATTTGGACACACATCAACACACGAAATTCAAATTGTAATGTTGTGTTATGTTTTGTATTGAGCTTTTATACAGAAACTTTAATAAAGGGTGAATGGAAAATATTTGTTTTCTGGGTGTAAATTGTGTGAATTAAAGGATGAATGCCAAATATTTTGTATTTTAACTTTCTAAACATGTACTAACATATTTTAAAAATATTTCTGTAGATCAAACAAATTATTTCAGTATATTTCCCTGATTTAAGACAAGTTTTATCATCTGAACCATGTGCATATCTCATACAAGTTACTTTAAAATCATGTCATAATCGAAAAAAAGGGTAAACAAATAAGTGGTTATTTCTAACACATTATTCTTTCATGTATTAGTTTCTTCCCATCTTAATTAAAACAGCCGTGGTGGTTATGTGTTAAATTTAACAACACTTGTTTGTTTAGTATCAGATATTATTATTGGTATACTTACAAAATAAATAAGTATTCCCTTCAGTGATTTTCAGTTACTTTCCTTGAAGCATTTACGTGCCTCAATTATTTTCTACTTAACAAACTGGTCTTGGTTTCAAAAGATCTGACCCCAAAACATACTCATCGTCAAAATCTGAAATATGCGTAAAAACAAAAGAAACTGGATTCATTGTCTTTGTTATCGTTCTATTTATAGATCAAGGGGATAGAATAGAAAATTATCTAACAGTAAAATTATACACTCCATCATCTTCGTAAAATATTCATTTTGTATTCTAAATCTTATCTAAATTAACTAAAAAATGAAACCATATAAAATCTTACCATTTAGGCGATTTAAAGATATTAAATGGTGCAAGAAGAAGATTAAAGTGAAATTAAGCTCACTATTTTTTCGCTTTCAAGTTGAGTTGAATCAGTAATTTATTTCAAAACATTAGCTATAATAATGTCATAGATTAGTAGCTGATGATTAAAACTGTGAATGATATAAAATAAAAACTTAAACTTCAAATACTACTTATAAAAATACCGTTCAAACTTTTTTAAGAATTGAGCGAAACCGATACATCCTGAACGATTGTATTTATAGAAACTTTCGTTAGTCACATAGATTATTTTTTTCAAATTAAAATTAAGCATTGAACAATTGTGGCAAAATGTCATATTGCCATTTATTTTTACCTGTTCACTGTTCATTTACACTTGAATAGGCATAATGCTACTTTAAACAAGATGGAAAAACACCGATACAATTTATATACTACAAACATGGCCGTATCTTAAATTAAGAAAATCAACGGCAAAACTGTATAGATTATCAACATGCTTGTTTTATTATATGAAGCGTGCGTCGGACAAGAAACAGTTCAGTCATTTTGTTTTGTTATAAATGCATTTTTTATCTCTTGATATAAGTTCATGCTAACATTTTATCAAATAATGTTAGAAATAAACGGCAAATTTATTGTTTTTTTTACATGCAATTTATCCTAAATAGAAAAAGTAATATACAGTAAACATTACAATTTTAATCAGTTTTACTCTTAATAACTTAATAACAATTGAAAACAGTTAGTGTCTAGGGTCATACATATCATAAATAGTTCATTGTTTACTATATCAACTTCATTGTGACACACATTTTTACTAAATTATTAATAAATGAAAATTATTTCGTCCAATTAATGGTGATCTTCAGCAGTGTTTGTTCAATTTTTCAAAACATTATCACTTACGGGCCTCGCTCACAGAATAAAGTGACCTTGTTTACGGGGTGATTTTAAGAGATAAAAAACGCTAATCGTCAACATCTTAAATCTTACAAAAACGACTTAAAATAGTCTTTGTCTCTTTGTTTCAGTGACAACAGCCGTGAAAAGAAAACAAAATATTTTAAACAACTTATTAGAGTAACCATTGTATTAGTTTACTTATTTATGCATCGTTCAGAGGGTCAAATATTTATACATTTTTTCTGAAGTCTGAAAATACTTAAAGTTATAAATTGAAAGATAATCCGATTTTAAAAAGAAATAATTGCTTATCACGGTTTACTTTGAACTTTTACTGTAATGGTTCTAAGAGTGTAGAATAGAAAAGTACAATTTCTTATTGAATTCGATAATGAGTGTGTTATACCCACTTTTATTTTTAAAACTACTTTACGGATTACATATACAGAATTAAGTTTTTGATAGTTTGAACTAACAGATCTTATAACTCACTCATATCCGTGCACAATATCTGTCAGATATGCCCCTATTGAACGCCGCCTTTCCATTTTGATTTTGTTTATCATATTTTATTAATAAAGTAAGGTGCAGACAAGGAGGAACAGCAATAGTTATAGACACATCGCTACAACAAGCAAAATGAATTAAAAATATAACAAATTACAAATTAAACTGCGCATTAATCTAAAAGGTCAATAAGCTTTGTTTTATATACAACTCAAGTCTCAAATCTCAACTAATGGATATTGAACAAATGAATGAGCTAGACTTAAAAGTATCAACGATCACAGCTTATCAAAAAAAAAACCAAAAACATATCACATATAAAATGCATATCGATGTCTTTGCGGGGTAATTGAACAATTAAATATTCCCTTATTTTTTGTTAATCGTTATACAGATATAATGCTTGCAAAAAAATGTTTTTTTTTAATATTGTATCTAATGTTAAAATAGCATAGACAAGTCAGTAATCTCATGCATTGTTTTGTTGGGTTCTCAATCGAATTGTTTCTTATACTTATCATTTTTTAAAAATTCATTTCTTTTAAATTATCATATTTAATGTTTTATAATAATTATATAATAAATGATAATCTAAATAATGAACCCTCAATTGTTTCAACGTAGAATCCCTTTTAAATAGGCATACTGTAAAATTGCTATTACATAACAATATACTGTATACAACTTTGGTATACTGTATACATTACATTGTACATACATTCAGATTTATAGTTAAAAATGAAGTAGTATGAAACAATATTTTCATAATTCTAAATTATCGCAGGTACTGCATTCGGATTCCTCAAATAAATAAATAAATAAATAAATAAATAAGAAGTTATCCTCTTTAACCATAACATGTACACGGTAATTTCTGATTAAATGCTAAAATGATATGTAAATGTTTTATTATATTAGTCTTTTTAATTCTTTAAAGTTTGCATGATTCTTTTTCTAATGTAAATGTATCTGTTATTATTATGTTATTAAGCAAAGTATAGCGAAACACAAATAAATATATAGATAGGTAAATAGTGCAAGAAAAAATACGCTTAACATTGGATGAAGTTGATAGCATCTGGTATAAAAAATATATCATTTAATTCAAGAGCATTCGGCTTATTCTAGGGCTTAAAATAGCGTTATATTGGCTGTAAACTTTCAAATATGGATTTGATTTAGAGCGAGTGCTCATTAAGCACCAAGGGTCAAAAGTCAGACCTACCGTATTATTATAATATGGCAACATTTCGGTTTTCCAGGTTGACATTACACATAAATAATATACATAATATATAACCAGCTGACTTTTTATGAATATATTAACTTTTTTATCCTTTTGGGTACCAACCAGTATGGGAGTTTCTTGCTGGAGGAGAAACAGGTTCCCTTGACAGGGTTTAAACTCAGACGGCTAGCAATCATTATATCAAATTAAATCAGCTGGTCTCCAAAATATAACTACCGCCTTACTAATATTTCTAAATTCCTCTTCAAATACATTATACAGTTGAATGAAATCGAAATGACACTTCAAAATGTCCATATTTTAACAGTATTGCTCTGAGAACAAGCAGTTCGCTTTAAGGCCAAGGGGAAGTATCTTGTTTTATAATACTGTGGATCTCTTTCATCCCGTCTCTTTTAGAAACGATATCATGTGAACCGTGACGCACAGAATCGTTTATTGTATCAAACATAGAGAGAAACAAATAATTGCTTTTAGAATAAAATCTACAATTTGTAAATATTATCAGCAACCAATTTGATGTCCATAATGCTGATTTTAACTTGGTTGCTACGGTTACATGATGAACAGTATAATCGCTCAATTTACACGTGTAGCTGTTAAAGCACACATATATTAACATCAAATGATATAGTTTATCAATTCCTGACAAAAGGCAAATTGCAGCTATTATTAAACTTTTCTTCTTCATTTCATTTACTCATACCCACCCAATGTAAAACGTTTACGAGATTCCAATAAAGAATCACTAGTGCGTAAGAAACCCAGAACAGATATTGACTGGAATCAGATAACTTACTAAAATTATCAATTATCAGCTAAAAATATTGTTCGAGGATACCCAGTGACAGTGTTCGCCGCTAATCAAAGTCGTAAACAAAGAGGAAGATTTGTGATTTCCAACACATATACGAGTAATTGGCTAGGAAAATATTGGGTAGTCTTCTTTTTTACTAAGTACGTTCCTTACGAATATTTCGACTCGTTAGGAAATGGGACCTCATAGTCATGCAAGGCTCGCCAGTTAGTATCGTGTGTTTGATATTCGGCTCCGTAAATTAAATTTGTCCTTGATTTATATTTAGTTTGATCGTTCCATGTTGGATGATTATGGAGGCAAATGTGATTTGCAGCACCACCAATACTGAGATGGTCTGATCCCCCAGCGAAACCGTCGTAAATCAAGACTGTTCCATTTGGACAAGTAGATTTTCCCCATCTTGTAAACGTGTCACCTGAATCGTAAGTAATGTGCTTTAGCTTACTCAATAATCATAAAATCAATGCTCTCACGATTACTATTACTGATTATTTAAATTGAAAACTCTGTGACAAGCCAAATTATTGTTCCTATTTGATTGAATTGCTTGCTAAATATAGATCATTTGTTGATTTATTTAGCTCATTTGGTCTTAAACATTTCCTAAAATTCTTTGATGAAAAGACATGGCGTATTCTCTTTAAGGCAAATACAGTTTTATTTCGTTCAAGTTCCGACTGAATTAAATTGATAAATAAATTGTTATAAAATGTATCTCAATAGATTATATAAAATCTTTTTTTTTATTTAAGTAAGATTAAAAATATATACCCTGACGATTTGATTCCAGCTTCTTTTCAACTTTAGACAATCTATGCATCACTTTAAAAACATACTCAAATTTATCATAACATGTGTCGTCATGTGTAGTAGCCAATACAAAAATCCCCAATGATAAACTAAAAGAGAGAATCGACATTTTTCTCAGTTGTTCAAAATTCCAGTATATCACGTTGAACTTACCTACATACAACCGTCTAAATGTTTACTAAACGTTGTCAGTTAATTCTATGGTTATATATAAAGAACTTACAACTAAAGGTTGAATGCCTAATATTTAATTTTCAATATTCTTTGATTTAGCATTTCTTGTACAAGTGTTAAAATTCTTGCTGTTAAATAATTATGTAATAAGTATTAAATTGAATTTGAAAAAAAGCGAAAATAACCCAAAAACTAATTAAGTATGCTTTCTTTACAAATATTATAATATCAAATTTGTATAATTTCAAATACGGTCGTTCCATTCTGTATAATTTCTGATAACCTATCCTATGCAAATAATGCGTCTTGGCTTCATTAGGCATCAATCCAAGAGAATGCAAATTGGTTACATGAAAATGACTTACAGTTTCGATTAGTAGAACTGGTCATGGACAGGCGAAAAGTACAAAAATTAATTTAATTCAATGTGTTTTTCCTCACGTTTGAAGGCCCGTTTAGCCTGTGATATGCTATAATTTTTATGTGTCTTTTTCTTCTAAACTTGTTACAGTTTCCAAATTGTTACCCATTTGTTCTTTTGCTCCTTTCCCATTGAGAATTGGTATAATTATAGTAAATTATTATTGTGTATGAAAGTCAAAGACCTACTTTGTTTACACTTTGCAAACTTTACCACACATAACTGCATGTTCAATGCTATTATCGTCAGTTGTATGACTCATACAATGCTATAAACATATTATTTAAACATTATTGAACACTTAGTTTATTGAACACATAGTTGATCTTTATGAAGAATTTTGTTTTTAAATATATTTATTTCTTGGGCATAATGTGTCTTTAACAATGAATGGTAAGATATTTATGTTGTTTTTTTTGTAATTTATTCCCTTTAGAAGGGTCAGGTTTACTTTCAAATAAGAAATAGTCTGCTCATGTTTAGAATTCATATATCTTAACAAATCACTACATTGAATATGGACTTCTTATGAATAGTGTTTTTCAATAAAAATATTCGGGAAAACTAGATTTTTAAAGGTTAAATAAAAAAAGAAAAAAAGTGAAAAGGTGTTTAAATTTTTGTGAAATTCAATTAGAGCTACATGTTTCTAATTTGAGATGTGCTCATTCTTTGATAATATTTTTATATTAATTTTGATACAATAATAATAGTTTTTAATGTTTTTAATTATCAAAAGTGTGCATGGCTTTTAAGTTTTATATGAAAATAGTTACGTTCCAAATCTCTCAAAAGTGTTCAGTTAGTAAGCATTAAGTTGTAGATGGATATTTACAATTGTAGAAGAAAGATAACATTTAGATAAATAATAAATTTCTTTCTTATATTTGTTAAAGTTATATGTACGATGTGTATATATTTTTAATATTGTGTCTTTTTTTGTAAAATCATTTAAATAACTTATGATCAAAGAAAATTTGTACAATTATAATTAATTAAGAATTTTATGTTTTGACCATCAGCATGGCTTACGATGATATTACAATTATTTATATTAAACTAATAGCGATTAGTTAACTTAATAAGTGCAAAATAGCACATTATGCTAACCATTTTGAAATTTGTTAAATGCATATTTCAATAACGTTCTGACTTCAATATTTTTTTGTTACCAGAATAACACCATATGCCATTTTTTACATGATATTTAGATAATAAATAACACACAATTATTATAATCATTAAATAAACATCGCTAAGCTATAACTCTAAATCTCCACGTGATTTTGTCACTATTGACAAAAATAATAAGAAAAGAAACGGTGTAAAACTGCCAATAAACACTGGCTAGGGACTACTTGTAAATGCGACTATTATGTTTTCTCCATCGATTTTATAGTTAATATAGCCTTTTAAAGCAACAATAAAAGCCTTTTCATTTATATTTTCAGTTTTACATATGTTTCCTTTTCATGAAATATCGAAATAATATCTCACACTAACGCCACATATTTGATTCATATCAGTTACAAAACAGCGCCAATCCGTAAGCAGCGTAATGACGTCATCCTAAGTATACAGCATATTCATTCATAATCGCTGACGTCATTTCATACATACAATAATGCTAAATTGGGCCCTGATGTAAATACAATACAATCCATTCTAAGACGTCAGTTCTTTTGTTGAAAACTTGATAAGAAAACTTTTGTTTTCTTATATATTTTTTTTTCTTAGCTACAGTAAGGTGCGAAATCGAACAGCGTTATCAATACGAAAATCGGCACCGAAAGTTATTTCCGCTTGATAAAATAACATTAAAGATATTCCTTATTTTATCGTGTTAGAATCGAAAAAAATATCGGTCGGAGCGGCGTTTATCGGCTATTTAACACCGGTTTTGTCGTTTTGATGCGAAAAGAAATAACCACTCAGGGCGTCGTGGTCAATTCATACTCATTTAACTTCAGACCGGTGTTAATTAGCCGATAAATACCGCTAAGACCGAAATTATTTCTTAAACAAAAAGTTATTCAAGAGCATTCTTCATATTTTTATTCATGGTTAACAATGAAACATTAGATCAATTCGTTCGCCCTGGGGCAACGCACCGCACAGGTTTATCATCTGTATTCATTAACAGTCGATTCTGTTTTTCAGCACTACATTATAAACAACTTAATAAATCATGATCGACTGACTACTATTAGTATACGAATTTCATCATTTATCATGTCACTGCATATGTTTTTTTAAGAAGTTTAGGTGAACCAGGCGATATAGCAAATTATTGTTAGACATGTACGATTTGCATGCCTACGTGAAGGAAAAAAACAAAAAAAGTTAACCACAAGAAAAGCCTATATGGCTTTTTTTAAAGTAGGTCAAAAACTGTTGACGTGACAAATCATTGGTATAGAATGCTGAAGATAAAATTGTAGTTTAAATGTCTTCCTTCTAAATATAGAAAATAAGCAATGCAAAATATGTACTTACGAGGTTGATCTATTTAAGATATGAAATTTAAATTTTCACTCGTTGACTTAAAACTTATTATATGTATGTACATATGGTTCTGCATCGGGCAATAGATGTTTTCTTCATATAAACCTCAAAATGTAATAATACAATACTTATAGCTTTGTAACTAAGATATAGAAAAAGGCTTTATATAATAGAATACAAATGCATATGAAACTTTCTTGTCCTTTATGTGTGTGATTATTCGTCTTATATATGACATGTTGTTAAATAAAATAGGAAGGTACTTCTTTTCTTTTTTATGATATCACAAGTTCCAATAATATATAAATAGAAGAAAATATACGTAAGTTAAATAATAATTTTCCTTGTTGTTTTTTCTTTTCGTTGAATAGTGAACTGTTCGTCACCTTAGTGCAATAACGAAGCAACTTTTAAATAAGTATGTGTGTGTTGTTGTTGTTTACAAAAAGGATTTTGGACACCAGTGCGATAATTTAAAATTATTTTACACATTTTTAAATAAAACATTTCAATTAATAAATATTCCCTAAAATCTAAATGAAGACAATTCCATTACAATAATTGACAACGCTTGATAACATCATAAGACATTAATTTATTGCTGTTGTTTTTTTATTGTGGAATATTAATTCATTAAGGAGGTTTATGATAACCTTAAATAAGGATGTTGAAATGTATAAAATGATATACGGTATGTTAAAGAACCTGTCTTGAAATATAAGACTAAAATTCACATGAGCTAAAACAATACATTCGTTGATCAATAAAGAGAGTGGCAAAAAATATTAATATAACACGATTATTGTTATCTAATACAAAGTTTTCTTATCACTTTTTAATTATAAACAAAATACAATAAGCAAATTTTGATGGTAGCTTTCATAGCTTTCATATTGATTTTTATGGGGTTTTGTCTACTGAAGTACCCTCTTTAAATAGAGCAAACTTAAAGATATTTTTCACCTTAGTTTACCTTAAACTCCTTGTTTTTAAAAAGAAAAAATATATAGATCAGGAAGCCAAAAGGTAAACTTCACTTTAGAACACATTCGTATTGGCAAATGAGAAAATTTACAAATAACCTGTCAGATATAGATCAGGAAAAAAGAAGATCAAGGTACATATTTACAGCTCTAATGAAAGTAGGCTAATGCAGGTAACAAACTGCGTAGAAAGAAAAAAAGTTAGAAAAAAGAGTACATTTCAATATACCTCACACATTCAATCAAAGGGTTTTTACATTTTTAAATCAACGTATGATTTACAAATAAAGATACTGTTGACTGTTACATGTAAGATTGTACATCTAAAATACATGTTTATATAAACGTAAATGATCACAATATAGTAATGAATCAAATCGTCCATTATTTTATTTAACGTAGTATATTTCTCCTTTCATGTCCTATCTTTTAGTAATTGACTCTTAAACATGCTTACAACTGACAAGAAAAGAACCAATGTTATTCTATAGTTCACTTTATCATCAACAATAAACGCAGTTCCTAAGAGTAGGTATGTCAATACCAAATGAAAATTGTTACCAATGATATTGTCGTTTGAGGCTTTCCTGAGGTCTGAACGTAACATTACTAATAAATTCCTGTTACATCGAAAATACATGGAAAAATTAAAATAAGATAATAATTACAGAGCTAGAAGATAAGAAATATATGCATAATATAAGTTTTGGGGACCACGCTTTTTATTATTTGGGGACCATACGCCGCTTTTCGTGGAATGGCACGGAAGTGTCACATTGAAGGTTCCATGATTACCGCCGTATGAACACATCTGCGGATGTTTCTAAATTCAAAATTTTACTATTTCATGTTTAAATGTTGAATTCTGCTTAAGCCGGTGCTAGGGGCGTGGACGGTAACTTGCACTTTCCAGGATTGCCCATGAACAGGCTCAATCAAACCGAGCCTGCAACATTTTCAATTTTTCCGTGTTGGGCTTTCTTTAGGGATTCTGTATGTTTCTATTTCATGATCACATCCGTGTTATTTGTGCCGTGTGGCGGCTGTTAAAAGTATCCCGTACATTTAATCAATGATGTTATATTTTCGA